CAAGGATTTACAGTCCGCCATCAACACCTTATCTGGTCCTGGGGCCGTACCTCCGGCATTCCGCAGGGCATCACCGACATCTGCCGCAGACAATGGCTCAATCAGACCATAATCATGGCCTTCCTCTCTGGGAACCGGTCTCTCATCCTCCGCACTTTGCACACCAAATACAGATCTCCAGTACTCAACCCTCGTCTGTTCGAGCCCCACGCGTTGTGATTTGTATGCGCTCAGCCAACTACCATACAGGATAGCCTGTGCAGCATCTTTACGTTTCGTCATCCAGAGTTACTGGATTGCTGCATAGTTGGCCTTCCGGATCGCCCACCTGCCACCGGAAGTACAGATTCTCCGTTGCCTCGGGGGATGTGATTTCAGTGGAAAGAAATGCTCAGTAATCTCGCACAGACGAACCACGCCTGCACTTTTTGTGAGCGTACCGTTTTGCAACTGCTCAGCAAGCTGAAGCCGCTGATCAGCCAGGTCATCCAGTGCAAAGGCGATTCAATTCGGTAATGATATGGGCAGGTGTTTCGACAGACCATTTGGCAACCTTCAGGCCAGCCTTAGGAGAGGCACCCTCCTCCCCCATCGGCGATTTCATCGCTTCCAGAGCGAACTCGGGAGAGGCACATTCCGCCCCGTCCGGTGGTATTAGATCAACCAACTCACCGAACACCCCGTCCAGGTCAGAACCACGCCAAAGACCCTCCAGGAATGAACAGTACTGTTCCTCATAGGAGAACTGCAAGAGGTTTGGCTCAAAGGCCGCTTCGTTTTGATCTGGATCGCGGTTAGTGGTCGTCCCATCGGACACTAAGTCACTCCCAGTCAACTCCGCAGCAAACTCAGGAAGATATATCGGAGGAACAAGGACCACCAAAGCAAACACCGAACTAGACCTCCGCCTCGGCCAGCGCATCTTCATCAACCGTTTCTGGATGCTTTCAACACTCCGTCCAGGAAATTGAACAGAGAGTCGACGATAGACTTTCACTTTGTTTGCGCACTCCGCAAGAAACTGGGTTGCTTGCGTAAATAACCGTGAGGTCTTTTCTTCGGACCAATCTCTTCGCCTTGGCACCATACGTAACCTCTCCTGATTGAGCCCCACGGGAAGCGTGTGCCTCTTATGATGGTCAAGCCCACGCTTAGAACCGAAGGCTGCACTAAAGCAGACATACCGGTCCTCGACATCATCGGCATCACCAGAAATGCTATGACCGTCAACCACCTGATCCTCCATTACCATTCCAGCATCTAACTCGATCTCACGTTCTACACCCGTTCGCTCTTCCCTTCCGGATGCCACCGAAACCAAAGAGGGGACAACAACGGCATGAGTAAAAGTCGTAACAAGGTTTCCGTAGGTGAACCTGCGGAAGGATCATTACAGCATTCACAACTCCAAATGATCAGCTGGTGGCTGACATTATTACCAGTACGAGTCCACTTACTCGTCATCTCCTTTTGCTATGCCTGCGGACTTGTCCGCTACGCACAGCGCCTGTTGCACAGGGTGTCTACCTGTCTAGTACCCGCGACATGCATGCGGCCAATGGCTGCCTGCTCCTGTTGTTGGGACGGAGTATACTGTAAACATAACGGTACTAGGCTCAATGAGTGGTGCATATCAAGGTCTGCGGCCCGGCCACCGCCCTGCTGTTGTTTCCCTTTGGGATGTACAGTATGTGGAACAGTGGTTCGTGCAACATTCACGAATCCAAATGATCAGCTGGTGGCTGACATTATTACCAGTACGAGTCCACTTACTCGTCATCTCCTTTTGCTATGCCTGCGGACTTGTCCGCTACGCACAGCGCCTGTTGACCAGGGTGCCTACCTGTCTAGTACCCGCGACATGCATGCGGCCTATGGCTGCCTGCCCCTGTTGTGGGGACGGGGTGTACTGTAAACATAACGGTACTAGGCTCAATGAGTGGTGAATATCAAGCGCTACAGCTCGGCCACCGCCCTGTGCTTATCGTTTTTCACAGTTTTAGTGGCCCATGTTAGATACATTTTGCATGTGTCTATGCTCATTAATGCTCCCGGCCTACGTGCGTTGCATTTACAGTCGCCTGGCGCTGCCTTGACCCAGGTTTGACTGTGAAAATGACTTATCACCTGTGAGAACGGGTGACTAAGCCATGTACAACTCTGAGCGGTGGATCACTCGGCTCGTGTGTCGATGAAGAGCGCAGCCAACTGTGTGAATTAATGTGAACTGCATACTGCTTTGAACATCGACATCTTGAACGCATATTGCGGCCATGGGTTAGCCTGTGGCCACGCCTGTCCGAGGGTCGGCTTACGACATATCACGACGCCAAATAAGTCGTGGCTTGAGTTTTGCCAGCTGGCTTTACTCCCCAGTGGGAACGTCAGGGGTGTCAGATCTATGGTGTTATCCTAATGTATCTGGATACACACATCTAGTTATTAAACAGGTGGAGATGTGTCTACGGAGTCGTGGCTCAGTAATATTTGTGCGCGCTCTGTAGAACATCTCGTGTGGTGAATTCCGAAATACGGCCTTCTAATCCTGACCTCGGATCAGACGTGATTACCCGCTGAACTTAAGCATATCACTAAGCGGATGAAAAGAAACTAACAAGGATTTCCCCACTAACGGTGAGGGAACAGGGAAAAGCCCAGCACCGAAGCTGTGGCCAATTGGTCATTAGGCAATGTGGTGTTTAGGTCGTTCCGCAGAAGCGCTGCTCCACCCCAAGTCGATCAATGAGTACGGTAGTACAGATATGGCCCATGGAGGGTGAAAGGTCCGTTCGGGTGAAGATTCATCAGGCCAGTGCTTCTCCGTGTAGACCTTGGGGTCGGGTTGTTTGTGAATGCAGCCCAAAGTGGGTGGTAAACTCCATCCAAGGCTAAATACAAGCACGAGTCCGATAGCGAACAAGTACCGTGAGGGAAAGTTGAAAAGTACTTTGCAGTGAGAGTTAACAGTGCGTGAAACCGCTCAGGGGTATGCAGGTGGAGTTGAACTGCAAGCTTTGAGAATTCAGCTGGTGAGGTTGGTTTGGGCTTGGTCAAATTGGTTGGGCCCCGAAGTACGTTAAACCACGTGTCCTTTCCCTTTGGGTTGGGATGTGCGATACACTTACCAAGTGTTGCACGCTTTGGGTGTTCATCGAGCCTCCTTGTCAGTGCACTTTCTCAGAGTGGTCACCACGACCGACGCCGTTGTCAAAGTTAAACCGGTCTTGTAGTGTCCTTGTGGCATTGCCTGGTCGGGATGGCAGGTAGCTTGTTGGCTCGCTTCGGCTTGCTTTCGAGTGTAATCAGCTGACTGTGACGGTTCTGTGCAGTGCGTCGGAGACGGCGGCCAGTGGTGTGTGCATGCGTGCCCGATTTGTTGGCGTACCCTGGTTTGGTTTCTGTGTTGCCTGTGATAGCAGGCCTAGTTATGGCTGGGGTTCGTTCGGCGAATGGTTGCGTGTGTGGCACTTCCAAGGGCCAATAGTCTGTGGTGTAGTGGTAGACTATCCACCTGACCCGTCTTGAAACACGGACCAAGGAGAGTAACATGTACGCGAGTCATTGGGCGTAACGAAACCCACAGGCGCAGTGAAAGTAAAGGTTTGGCTTGTCCAGACTGAGGTGAGATCCTGTCGTGTCCCACGCGTGGTGTCACCAAGCACGGAGCGGCAGGCGCATCACCGGCCCGTCGCATGACGTAGTCTCATCTTCGGATTGTGCATCGTCGTGGCGGAGCATGAACGTACATGTTGAGACCCGAAAGATTGTGAACTATGCTTGTGCAGGTTGAAGCCAGAGGAAACTCTGGTGGAGGACCGCAGCGATTCTGACGTGCAAATCGATCGTCAAACGTGAGTATAAGGGTGAAAGACTAATCGAACCATCTAGTAGCTGGTTCCCTCCGAAGTTTCCCTCAGGATAACGGGCATTCTGAGAAACAAACAGTTTTATCCGGTAAAGCGAATGATTAGAGGCCTTGAGGACGAAACGTCCTCAACCTATTCTCAAACTTTAAATGGGTGAGAAGCTTAACTTGCTTGAGTGGAGTTATGCGTTGAATGTGAGTGCCAAGACTCAGGACAAGACTCAGGCAAGGAATGGCAAAAGATAGCTCGATCACGCCCTACATATATCAACCGATCGTCTGCTCTATCGCGACCTGTTCGCTCGTGCAGGATTCAGATGGAACAGACCATGGGGTTGTTGGCCGTTTGCCTGGCGACAACAAATGAACTCATTGACGACACGTCTTGCAGCCGTTAGATCTATACGCCTGCCTGGTTGGGGACCAAAGGAGAAAGAGTACCGTTGGCTCGAAACAATACAGGTTATGGCGCGCAATCGGAACAAATAGAAGATATGTGTGCGCACTTGTTTAGATTCAAATACTTAAAGCCTAGCAATAGAAGATGGAACAAATGAAAAGGGTGTGTGCAAAATAGCACACACGGCACAATAGCCAGATTGTGTTGCTCACCTTCAGCTAATATGTCATGATAATGATGACACCGTGATACCATCTTACATATTTTAGTGCTTTCCATGGTTTACTTGGCTCTATGTCAACTTAGACTGCTGCTGATATATATATATATATATATATATATATATATATATATATATATGTATATATATATAACAGAAATCAAATGCGAAAACTCCCCTTATTGTTCCCCCCAACACACACGCTTGTTACCTTGTTGTGGATCTATTGTACATCTCTCAGGCAGTGTTTTCATCAACAATCCTAAAATTATATTTTTCTACCAACTGTGCTTTACGTGCGTATATATATATATATATATATATATAATAATGTAATACTTTCATCCGAAGAGCTAAATTAAATTTTCCCGCGGCAGACTGGTGGAACCCTACCCAAGTAACCCCCTGTTCACCTGACCGATGTAATTTGAGTTTGCATACCGACGAGTTTAAACGCGAACAAGCTCGTTTTGTCTTATCTTCCCCTGAGAAGTCCTTTTGTACACTTGTTTCAGGTCTCATCGCAAAGGCTATCCTGAGCACAGAGGAACGTCGCATGATCTTGTCGGAAATTTACCAGTGGATTCAAATGAACTATCCCTATTTCCGATCCAGAGGTCCTGGATGGAGAAACTCCATTCGGCACAATCTGTCACTGAACGATTGTTTCATCAAAATTGGTAAGCCATCATGTCGGGTTCATTTCCCTTACATACGTAGGTTGACGGAAAAGTTTTGAGTTTCGAAAACCAAACGGCGTACAGTTTGATGCTTTTATTTTTCAGCATAATCACCCTCAAGATCAACCCACTTGCTCCAGCGGTGCAGAAGCGCCTTTATCCCAGTGGAAAATAACGCTTCAGATTACGACTCTGAAACGCTTCTTCGGCTACGATGAGGGCACTGTCCTTGAAAAAACTTTTCCCAGCTAAAACCATTTTCAAATTTGGATAGAGGTGGAAGTCAGAGAGATCCAGATCTAGTGAATAGGGTTGGTGAGGGAGCAAGTGGAAGCCGCGTGGTGGATTGTTATCTGAGCAGTGGAAGAGGTGTGGGTTGGAGTATTGTCGTTGTGGAAAATGGTTCCTTTCGTTAGCACTACTGGCCCCTTCTCTCGATTTTTCTTTGAGATGTTTCACCAGTTTACAGTAATACTTTCCGGTGATGGTATGGCCTCTTTCAAGGAAATCAATCATCACCACACCTCGGGAATCCCAAATGACGGCTGACATCAACTTGCCAGCTGACCGCGTAATCTTGGCCTTGTTTGGCGTAGGGATTGTTCACCTTTCCATTGCTTTGATCGTTATTTTCCTTCTGGTTGAAAGTCATGAACCTAGCACTAGTCCATAGTGATGAATCATATAATAAAATCATCGGCGTCTGCCTCAAACAGTGCCAATTTTTTCTTTTACATTACATGTTGCATGCGGTTTACTCAGGAGTCAGAAGAAATGGCACCTAGCTAACAGCAACATTTTAATAGCCTAGATCTGGACAGAATATTATCTGCTCGCTCCTGGAAGATGCTCATCCAATCTTCTACCTGATGAGTAGTTAGGTGGCGAGCTTGCATGATCATATTCATTACCAGGGCAAGATCTTCTTTGGTGGTGGCGGCTGATTGTCTCCATGACCTTGGCTCATCTTCAATGCTCTCCCTGTAGCGCTTAAACTTGCACCCAACGTGGCATATGAAGGGGCATAGTCAGGCAATTATCTATGTCAAAATCCCCTATTCATGAGTACAGCAAAATATATCCGCCCCAACAGTTTCTAAGTGCTGTGTCGTACATAGCTACTGTTAGTGGACGTCGTGTTTTTCGGAGCCAACCATGTCCTCTGCAACATTCGTAAGTTGCATGGCAGCGGAGGATAAGACGCGCCGTATCACAGTTAGCTCGTAAATCGTGACGGTCCGAAGCTGTTCCCTGTGGTCCAGTGGCATAAGCTGCTGACTAGTGGTGCAAGCCGCTGGTGGTCATGAGTACGAATCCTGATGGATCCGATGGATCCGCAATACTGATAATGCCCAACAGGCTGAAACTGCAGTGTAGTGCTTTTCCGGACATGTGGACGACTATCTGATTTGGAAGCTGGCTGCGAAGAACCTCGATTATCTATTTAGCATCTCTTGGTGGAGTTCAGATAGTGCCATTCATTTGAGATAGAAATATTTGCTCATTGCACGATACTGCAATTTCGTCATTCCCACCAAATTACATACCCAGTTCACTTCAATGATCTACTAAAATGAAGGTAAGAGGTAGCAATATGAATATGGATAATATAACGGAGTCAAGAAAGTGTTCTGTTCACCAAATTGGGTGAAAACTCAGCCGTAACAAACAGGCTTTCTGCGATACAGCATGAAATTGAAAAAAGTGGATAAATAATTGAGGATAGTTAATACCACCAAAACATAAACCGGTTTGTTAATTCTTGCGCTACTTTGTCTCGCTCTAGCAAAAGTCGCGCTAGGTAGGGGATAATTGACAAACGGTACGCTGGTGTACTGGCGTATATGGATTTGTACTTCCCTCTGATTGACGATACTGACACAAATTCCGTCAATACAGAATGGAGGGTGTGACTTGTGTGGGCAACTATTGTTGATACACCAGGAAAAATTACTGGTGAGCAGTGCGTCCAGTATGGAGGAACACGATCAATGACAAGCGAAGTAACAGATCACGGAGGACATATAAAACTCACATGCGTGAGGCTTAGAACGATAACCTCCGGACTTTTTGAACCTTTTTTATATGGCTTGACCAAGCTAAATCGTAGCTTAGCAAAATACCCAAGTAATATACCGATGTAGAAAAGTTCAACCTCTTGCCATCGGTGTTGAGTTCCGGGCATTGCTAGAGAAGGTAACGATTTCAATCGTCCCTGTGCAGGGAAAAATTGACAGCATTGCATTCGGACACTGAGCGGCTGCTCACGGGCAGTTGACCAAAAGGTAAGATCGTCAAGGGTATCTTGCAATCCGACTGAATAGTCAGTCGTCGATTGATTGACGCCCAGGACAAGATCATTTGCGTAGTTCAGAAGGGTTGCCTCTCCTGGGACTAGTATTGATTTTACATGGTTGGAAAAGATATATGGTGACAGAATAGCTCACTGAAGATCCCCAGTGTTTGCGATTAGGGTAAGGAGCCACTGCCTCCAAATTGGGTAACCTGAATAGGATCGGTAAAATAATCCCTCAAAAGATGAACGATGAAAGTCTGTATTCCAGAACCGAATAGACCTTTAAACAGCGATTCGTAGTTTACGAAGCCGAATACGCTACTGTAGTCCAAAAACAGACTCGGATGAACTTGATTCGGTTTTCCAAAGATGACAGAACCGTGTGCATAATACAGGCTATTGCGCCTTGGGCTGACCTCGAAATGCGATTGGCCAATTGAAGAAAATCATTTAACTTTGTTGTGTCATCATCCTCGCAAGAATGATTTTTTCGAAGACCTTCAATGTTACCCAGGTATCAGCAATAGATCGATATTTGCTTGCGCCCTTTTTGGTATTGGTGTAGTATTGACACAGCTGCAGCAGTCAGCAAAATTTGCTGTTGAATGTATAAAGTAGCCAGACGTTTGGCCATGGATTCAGCACATTCCTTGGGGACAATGTGAGACAGACAGCCCGGACTACTTGCTTTCCCTGGGTGAAGTAGTTTCGGCAATTTGTGTACGGTGCCGATGTGGACAGGGGGCAGTAACTGCGCAGACAATTTAGGTTGGACAAAGAATGATTCAGAAATCTGATTGTTATAACAGTTGCAGAAGTCAAGGTTCAGTTTCTCCACATCTATGTCGGAGGCTGAACTAAGTCGAGTAATCCCGCCTAGCCGTTTTAACACCCTCCAGAGTTCACGGCAGCTACTATCCCCAAGTATAGTCTGAACATACATGTTGTTGCGACTGTGTAACTCCTGCTTTATAAGAACAGATAGTGACTTTACTAGAAGATTGTCCTTTTCTTTGCAGGCTTTTTCTTTTTGTTTACGTATCCGCTTTAGTTGGCGGAAAGAGAACCTGTCCGCACAAATGAACAGTTTCGCATGGACCGCAAATGTCCAAACAAAAGTTGAACTAACTTGTCAGCTCATAATAATAAGTGGATATTTCAGCGTAACAAACAAACTGAAGTCCGTGGATGATACCATTTCTCGCGGTCGGGCAATATTCTGTGCGGAACACTGACTCCACCTGAACTTTGCTGCCGCTGCAACGACCAGCCACCTTATGGTTGGTCCTAGGGTAGATCACAGAACACAGTGTAACTCATTTTCTGCTGAGGTTTTAACTTTTCTTCATTTTCACATGTGGAGAATGATGCAAAAGCACTTATATGAAGTTTCGATTTGGCAAATTTAGATTATTTTAGGATATATGAGGATTTTTCTAACTGTCTTTTTAAAGGACGCCAGCAAGAAATGACTTCAGAATGTGAGCGAAAACATAAAACTGCGTTTTCAGAGCAAATGGACGATTGTTTGCAGACTTGAGGTTACAATGGTGAAAATTCTTTCCAAGAGATTATATACCAGGCAATTGCGCATTATAAGAGAATATGCGGCGCATATTTACACAAAAATGTTTTGTATCATTCATGCGTGGTATGTCGCAGAGCAGGCCACGTGTAGTGGCACATCACACACTGGGCAGAGTAGATTAGCCTTCTTTCCACAGTGCCGGTATCTTCTTTGTTTCGGTATAGATTCCAAGTGGTGTCCAGAGAAAGATTTTCTGATGCTGTCTTCAACCTTTTGCCGTTTTCTGATGGGTGTAAGAAGATTTTAGTGGACATTATTCTCGGCTAGATACGCCTGCAAGTAGACTTTTATGACAGCTCTTTTGAAGAAAAGCATGTCAAGTTGCTCTTGTTTATATGCAGGTGATTTTCTGTACGAAATCCAAGCATTATTCAATGCAACATCCGATAGAAAGGCGAACAGCGGCCACCCCCACTTTTGACTGTGAAAATTGTTTTTGCATTGACCGACATTTTGGTCCAATCAATCCACGCCTCCCATCAAGGTGTTATACTTAGTAACGATGCTAGGTTGTTCAATAAGTATGTGCTTTTTGTCCTTCGCCGACCACCTCTTCACTTTTGTCAGAGGATATGCACCAACAGAGTTGCTGGCAAGAGTCACAACGGAATTATCATTCCAAGACAAAACGAACACGTCATCTCGTCTATCAAACCTGTAGTCATAAGTACCCCTGTTTAGTTTTCCTAGGACCTTCGTGTCGATGGGGCACTTTTCTGTCCTATTTGCTCGAACTGTCCCCGTTGCTCTTATGCCTTTGTTGGCTAAGGTTTTTATGAGCCGCTAGCCTGTGAAAAACTGTTAAAATAGATATGGCAGGACGGCCCCTTCGGGAGCTTGTCCACTAGGTCCATAACAACGCCACATCCCAAACCGAATGTCTTTTCATATTTGGCCTGAGTTCCTTGGTAGACATCTAGATAGGCGGCATAGTCTAGAGATGTTGCAAGTATCCAATGTTTGTAACCGAATCTAATAGGCTTTCCTCTGATGATGCATTGCTTCAGTCCATGACGGCCGTAATATGGTATCATGCTTTCATCCACGCACAGATTTTCTTCCATGGGGAAGAATTGCATAACTCTTTCATTGAGTAGGTAATAAAGTGGCCGAACTTTTGAAAATTTGTCATCTGCTTGCAGATTGTTATTGTTTACCAGATGGAGATATCTCATGATTGTGTCAAATCTGTTTCGATCCATTGTTGGACTGTTGTCTGCATTGTGAACATCTTGTTCAGGATGCCAATACACCTGTCTTCGTGGCAATGGATTATAGCCAGAGATAAACAGAATAGCGAGAAAAGCACACATTTCAGCCGTGGTTATAATAAATTAGTGGTCACTTTTTGAGCGAGCTTACTCAATTATCTGCCTTACCATGTGATGTCATCGGGTAAACTACATTTTACATGCAATTTTAACAATAAATATGAAAGTAGAATGGAGAAAGCATGTTAATGCAATTCAGTGTTTCACGCTGTAATAATAATAGCCTAATATATCGGAACGTTTATATAAAAACGTAAATTTTTCCCACATGTTACCAATAAATTAGTCAGTTCCAAGGTACACGTCAACCCACCATTTCTTGCTGCCTTCGGACAAAATTAACAGATAGTCGCAGATCATGCATACAATAAATATCCCACATGCTACATGATTACAGGTGATAGTGTGTTATAGACCTATAAATTAACAAAAATATAGCAAAAACTTGGTGCTTTTCAATGAATAATTACTTAAAGTACACTCCTTTGGATTTTCCATTTTATAGGCAATTTCTTGATCATGCAAGACAGGGCAAACTATTTTTTCGAAAATAATATTAGACTGACTAAAATGACTTCAAAATTATGAGGATTAGCATTTTATCTAGCTTTGCAAGCAAAGAAACTATGAATAATACATTAATTCAACCTCTTAGAGCATATTTTAGCAAGTGTCCTTTAAAATGGACGCCAGCGGAAAATTGGTTAACTGTTGACTGATCACAGTTACCTAACGGAGCCCTGTTACACACGGAGAACAGCTTCACGTTGTTAACAAATACTGGACTAAGCGTCGCATTGACTCCAGTGGAGCAGTTTAGAATATTTGTTAGTCCAAGACTTGTGAGAAAAGCGGTGTCAAATCGGTTAAAGTCACCGGCAAAAATATATAGTGAACAATCGATTTATTCTGTTACGACCGCAGTAAAATCACCGTAAAATGCCTCCGCTTCAGGTTTCGGACAGTTGAGGAAAATATAGTTGTTAGCCAGTAAGATTGAGCGGTAGCCACTGATACATTTGCTTTGCAACACAGGATTAAGCAAGTTAATACACTTAGAAGAGAAGCAAAACAATAGTTTCGTGGATACGCACCAGGAAGTGTTGGTGAAAATGATGACTCCACTACCACCGTTACGGGGTACAATTACGGTTGTACCGATGACATTTGGACTCTTCTACGGATACAACTCCGTCATCCATCTCCTCGTGAAGCCAGGTTTCTTGTAGCAAACTGATGCCTAGCTGCAAATATTCTCGGGAGATCATGGTGCTTGATAGTCCATCGATTATACCTAAAAGCGAACGGATGTTTGGGGTAAGTAAGATAGGTATGCTCATGTTGCGCGATCTTTCTTCCGAAGATCAACCTTCCACCTAGCACGGTGTTTACCTGCACATTTGTTGCGCTTCTTGTAAATTCGTTTCAATTCATTCCTTATAACGTGGCAGTTTGAGAAGGCACAGCTGGTGAGAGCGGGAACGCATAACGATTTCAAAATATCGCGAGTATAGCTCAACATCACACCGATTGTAGCCTGATAAAATGAAGTGAAAAACCATGGCTGGTGTGAATCCAAAAGTGTGTGTTACAAACTCCACAGAAAGAAATCATCAAGCACGGTCAGGTTTGTAGGCCTTTTGCAAAATGAATAGGGTAATGTGGTAGATTAAAATAAACATTATTAGGCCTGCCTGGCTGTCCGATTTTTGTGCCAGTCTCGAAACTTCATTCAACCCACGTACACGACACCAACAGTCCTGGATTGTATACTGGCTGAAGTTGATTGGGGGCGATTCCGACCGGGTGAGGATCGTACCTTATTAATTATTAAGAGTGTAATTAAAGGTGTAATTGAGGAGGTCATTTTGGTGCACCTGTTGTATGAATGCATGACGATGCACAATCACTGTATACTGTGAAGAGCAATAAAAAACAAACCTTTGTCATTTCGACCACCGGGACCATAATTGATGATACAGCTGGCTATTGAGTGTCGTCCGTTTGAATACACTACACCCCACGAAGCATTTCAACATGATGTGATCTCGCCAAGTAAAGATAGCAGGCACTCGAACCCGGGGCCCATGAAATGTTGGCTGAAATCTCTGCTCACAAACCACAAAACTGCGGTGTGCCATGCTTGTCGTAACTGTTAATGAGTTGGCAGCTAATTCATTATGGGCACTGGTTGTGCGAATGGGCTGTGACATAAAATCTCAAACTGGGCCAGGACACAATTGGAGTTATCATTGGTCAGTCCGTAACGCATATGTATGTTACTAGAGGTTCGGCTAAAGATTGCGCTTCAAAAACCAGTTACACAATTGGTGCATTAACTTCATCGCTACAAGCGCACTGCGGGAACTCCAAAACGCACTGGTGCTTTTCAGCTTTTTTAAGCCGCCAAACGGCTGCTTGTTTAATCCTCAGTTTTCCAGATAAAAGTCACATTATCAGAAAAGACTAAGTACATTTCTTTTCAGTAGATAACTGAGGATCGGCGGTACTGATGTTTATCATGCTTGTTCCTGCGTGATTTAACTTTATGCCTCTCGATGACCTCATTCCGCTTATGCATGTACTGTTGCGTCTTGACAGTTGTCCATGGGGCACGGTGGGAGCAAAGGTGGCCCCATATTCTTCTGTTAGTACTGAGCTGATGAAAGATCATGGACAAATGACGCCACTATTGCTCATCACTGAGCACAGATCAGGACAGACGAGTACCGTTGGTTAGTTTTGTACGCTTTCTTTCCCCTATGTAATACAAATAGTAGCTTCCGAGAAACCATTTACCGGTAGTACCTACCCAGGGAACCGTAAGTTGAACTCAACACAACCACCATTCAACGTTCTACCGGCTTAGAAGAGACATTGCTTGTGTTACAAAATTACTGACCTACTATATTGTGAGTCACGTTATATCCTGGTCCACTGACACTTGATAGAAAGTAATGTGGATGTTGCCATTATGCTCCCCATAGTCTAGCGTGGTTGAACGATTTTCTTACTTCCGAGGTAGAGTCCATCAACGCGTTTCCGTTTACCCTTTGTTTAGGTCGCGCTGCAAATGGAAAAGGACACTACTGGGGAATTCATCCGGCGAATCTGCACGACTTCTTGGCCGGTGACTTTCGTAGACGCCGAGCACAAAGGAAAGTTCGTCAGGCTCTCGGATTGGCTTGTAGTCACGAGGATCACGACAGCCCGTCCCCAGACTCGCCCACTTTGGTTCCTGAAGTCCGTTCGTCGTCGAGTCCATTGTTGGACACAGTTGGTTTGCAGCACACCACCTCATATAATGCCCTCATGGAACCAAACCGGATGCGAATGGTTCCAGCGAGCCATGCTTCGAATTCCGCATTGTCACCTCCATCGAAACGCAGCGCCAGTTACGACAGAACCGACTGGGGTGCGTTTTATGGTGGATATCAATACACGTCGGAAGACGCAACGTTATCGTGGCTTTCGAAAATGTTCTTCCTACACCAGCCCCGGCAACAACAAATGCAGGTTTTGCCACAGGTAGACAACCTCTCTGGGAATGCGACCGGTATGCACACGACCTCCTTACAAACCACAAAGGGGAAACATGGTTTCAGTGTTGCTCGCCTCCTTGATGAGTCGGAGTGCGTCCATAAGCCTCGAAATTACTCTAGATCCCGAAAATCCAATGATCATCCACTACCACGGGACGCACATAGTTCATACGATGCAGATTCAAATGGAAAGTGTCAAACTTTTAGCTTGATCAAATCAGACGATACCATTTCCCTCCCCACTGCACTGGATTTCACCACCTCCAAACGACGAAAAACTTGTCCATAGAGAGCTTAGATTGTATAGTCTGTGGTTATTTTACTTATGCTCAAACAATATGTAAGCTTGACACAATATTTTCTGCTAAGGTGGGTAAACATGGTATTCAGTTTCCAGGTAATGACACCAAATCGACAACATTGCTTATAATATTACTTCGGAGTGTGAATTGGCCAATTGAAGACGGCGCGTGGCCTCAGATTGCACGATCGGCTTCCAATTACACAGTTCAACTACTAGTTGTGTCGCAAATAAGCGCTTGGCCTTGAGGTTACCTGTAGTGGCCTGTTATCGTAGGTGCGCGTTTTACCAATAAGCGAATCACACCGTGAATCATTAGGAGTCTCCTCCGCTTACGGTGAATCCGATTCGACCAACTAAATAACATAACCATTCGTGTGGGTATGGATCACAATCACGTCTAACATCCTTCCACACGCCGTCCTAACGAAGTCCAGAGATTTGAGATACAGTGTTTTGTCTGACCCAAGGAGCGGCTGCGACAAACGGCTTGGCCATATAACTGGCTGCAGGCCATGGTGGTTTCGGTTCATCCGTCGCCAGTATTGTACTCAGAAACACGACACGTAAAAAGACACTGTTGTAGTGTATGCACGTGGCCAACAACTCATGGTCCGTTTGGTCACACACCGTTATGTTACGAGTCACGTGCATCGCCCAACAGGTAGTGAATCTTGACGACGAATCACAACCTTGTGCACCACAACAGTCCACACGCATCTGGTGAGTAGATCTCTTGTGTGATTTAGGGAGGCAAATGTGCCAGGAATTCAGACAGCTGTTGCCGGGTGGTAACCTGTTGCTTGATAGAATTCTAGCCTATCAGTGATCCGAATGTTTTCCATTGCCTCTGTCTTAGCAATGATCCGTATTCATCTGAATTCACTAAACGAGATATTGGCAACTGGCCCATACATACCCCGTCGATATTTGCAACCTTCGACGCCAGCGACCAGGCTCAGCTAACGCTCATTGGACATCAGCACTGGAGATGAGTGCGGTGTTGGGTTTTAGAAGCGCACATCTGCAGACCATGCCTCCCGTCGGAGTTACGGCCTATGGCTTGTCCCAGCGGTAAAATAAAGATCTTGGCAGTCGGACAATACGGCGCAATATGGGATAACGTGCGCGTGAAATTCTTAGCTTATACAAACATTCCCATGGGTCGGAGCGCACATTCGATAACTTGTTAACGAAGCGTCATAGAAATAACTAAAGTTATTTGATACGCTAGATTTATTCATGGTTTGATATTTAATGCAAAGCAATATAAGTATTCACTCGCCGACCCGATACTAATTGTGTACGTTGGGGTGATTATGGTCGGCTGTCACCGAACAGGTGCTTCTACCGAAGGATCTCGATGAGCAGTTGCAGCCCGTGTCAGAGTAAACTTTTAACGTACATTTGTTCAACCGCAATCACTTCTCAACTGGCCCAATATTATTTCCCCAATTCCCCTGTCCCCTTTGTTGAAGTCGCATTCACTGCTTGGACCCGCCACCAGTACATGCATGTTCTTCTTCCTGTCCCTATTTTCCTTCTGTTTCCTTGCCGAACTTACAGTTGGAGCCACTTCACAACAGCCTCGCAAATTCCCTTTTGATTCATGTCCTATTGATCGCTCCTCTGTTCATTATCACACACTGTAGTCTCTCTTTTGGTGTCCAATTCCCGTAGCGATTTTACGACTAATGTTTCCCATTTGACCAGTGACCCACCATTGACACGCTTACCCACATCTGCCCTGTTGGTTTACGTTCAATTCATCGTGTGTCAATTCGTCCACCTCTTTGTCCTTGGAGTGGATCGAGTCATGACAGACCAGGTCTGGGTTTTTATGGTGGACAAACTATTCATACGGTCCATGTTACGGCACAACAGGCGTTTCCACCCTCATACTTATGTCAGGTGTCTCCTACAGTGTTTTTAGCCTTGTGTGGTTGGACTGCGGACTACTGATTGGTTCGTTGATGGGCGTCAGCACCAATTCAGTATGCTTTGTTGTAATGAATAACCGCATACACCTATTTGCGGATGCTACTGTGGTGGTATGTGGTGACTATGATATACTGGGATTAATAAATTGGCACCGTAGTTTAAAACTGACTGGATTCTTCAAGATCTGACCGTCGTATACCAGTTCTTGTTCCTTCTTCGTCGTTGAATCCATCTGGGAGGTCACAAATCTGTGTCGCAGGTTTTGTCCAAGTGTCCCAAGTGCTTTTGACGCTTACAGAAGTAAGTTGCCTTTGACATACTCATAAGTAGGGAGTTTCCGATGCAAGCACTTAGCAGTTCATCGCAAAGCTGCTTCTGAACCAGATAGTTATCTGCATTCTAGGGGAAACACTGGAGGAGTTTCCGTCTATTGTGTCTCGCCACTATTGCACATCCAAAGAATCCATTAAGATGCGAACCCATGACCATCAGCGGCTTGCACCTCCTGTCCGCATTTGATGACACTGAGCCATGGGCACCGTCATGATTTACAAGCTAACTGTAATGTAGTGCGTCTTATCCACCACTGCCATGCGAATTATGAACGTTGTAGAGGACAGGGTTGGTCACGAAAGACACAACTTCAACCGACATTAGCCATGTATGACAGCACATAGATACTGTTGCGGCGCGTATTTTGATGTAACTGTTCTTCTACCGCAACGTCAGTTTCCTAAGGCTAAACAAAATTGGCCTGTAAATCCGTCTTTTACAGCTTTGGACGATCCAGTACCAAACAGCATTTAAAACTAAAGTTGGTATGGTGCTAACTAAAAGGGAGTATATCAGCTCAGCTCTGCACGAATTGAAACGAGCGTTCAAGGAACGACTTGCAATTGTAGATGATTCAAGTGTAAACGGTTCATCCCCTACGAACAAACTAGTGAAAATAGCGTAGATGTACGTTTTGCAAACCACTTCAACAGACAGTGTTCATTTTTTCCAGTACCACTAGCAAGAACGAGCAGTAATTCAGCTGGATACTGTGGTTTCGGATATTGCGGGTATTCGCATCTGCTGTTAACGTACAAACGCAGGAAGGATAATGCTGATTTAAAGAGAATGTATACACATCATTCACAAAAGTTCCATCAGAGCAGATTTTAAACATCATCGTCATTCACGTTGACGAATTGGGGTTTGCAGTACATCACCCTAAGTAGATACTCTACTTGGGTATAAATACATTCAGTACTAACTCACTGGAACAATCTATCGTCAGATTAATGGTGTGGCCACAGAAAGAAATATGCCATTGCTTTTAACATTCCGAACAAATGCAGTTTAGACAAAGTAGAATTGGATTATACTGAGAGTTTACAAAACGTCCGAGCTCGATGGCAAATGTCTACGCTTAAATTAGGAGACACCAATACATTGCTGTCCCACCCTATTCATATCCACGAGTGAAGAATTAGCGGACCAATTCTTGTATGAGCAGCCATTACACATTAGACTCAATTCAACGACACGGTGAGCAGTTCGGGTTGTACACATCTACAACGTGCGTTCCTTTAGCTTGAATCTACTGCGCTAAAGAAAGAGAGTGCTTTTGAAGCGGACCCTCTTGCCAAACCTCCAACTTCAAACATACTAGCTAGAGCACACATGAACTTTGGTGTGGACCTTGATAGCTCCTACTTAGGGGTAGCTACATCGAGCACATCTGCTCCAGATCCTATTATAATCTTCTATGCACCCACTAACAATATTAAAACTCCTGATCCTGATACTATTCTTCCCACTGTATCTACCTCTATCTGGCTTTAAAAACCATTGCTGCCAAAGGAAACGTGACACCGCCACACGTCAGCTGCTTCAAATTCCCAGTGACTGATACTCACAAGACAAAACTAAGGAAAAGCCGGCAGTTCTTAAGTTCTACCTCAAAATCACCCTTACCACCTTAACAATACTTACCAACCTAGTTTGAGTAAAACCAGAGCAAATCGGCTCTTACCTAACCCTATATCTCAACCTTCAAGCCATCATCTCTCAGTCCTACCTTCGAACTGCCACAGAGGTAAACAAGATAATAACAGCCTGTTCAACAGCGAACATTAGACAGCAACACATTTTACCAACCCACAAAACATATGCGGCCCCTGACCGTTTATTACCGAACTACAATCCTTTTTATTAGATGCATTAGTAGCACCAGAAATACTCCCATTACAGACACGTTTTGTGGAAACAAACAAGTTGTTGTCGCACTCCTATAGTTGGTACTCAAGACACAAATGGCTCATTACCAGACCAGAGACATATTTTCAACCAGCACTACTGATAATCCTGACCGAAAATACGCCCGTCTCCCTGAGTGCATTACAGGATTCATATGCCCCTACATTTACGTATTCCTTTTCTCAGGTGAACTTTGTGCTCCTTACTTCTCAATGGTCCCTAATGTTTTCAATAAAACCCCAACATATACATACCATCTTCTCTACTGCTCCTCAATGCCTGAACTATTGGTAACAAACTTCACTTCCCAAACATGACTATACAATTGAGCATTCCAAGTGCAATGCTCGTCACTGGAACGTGGTACGCTTCTAAAACCGTTGAATGTAAATCTAACAATCTCAAAATACTAAGTATTTCGTAAAGATCACTGCACAAGACACCGATGTCTTTTGACCACCATGAGCTAGATAACGTTCCAGAATATTTGTGGTTACTTGTTACTTGCATTTCCCATCATATACCTCTTGGATACATCTACAACCCTCCGAATGCTCCAACTGGTGATGTTGTTACTATCTGCTTCGCATTACATTTGATGGCAGTGCAGCTGTACGAGCAGCAATAATAGATTGGGACTTCAATTTCCCGAAAATATCCTGGTCACCAAATCCAGCCTCGTTAGCACAAACAGGATTCCTGTCGACATTATGACGGGAGGATGGACACCATAGCCTACAAAAACTACCAGGTTAACCAACCTACTTAATTAAATGCTCGCCTAAGGAATCGCTGAAGCAAACATGGATT